CTTTCATCTTCCGAGGGTAACACTGAGAAGGATGGTTGTGAGGTTTTCATTTCTACTTCATTTAGCTTTGGTTGGGGTGAATTAAGCGCTAATTCGTCCTCTGTCATCAAAAAGCTATTCTTCTTAACCTCTCGGCGTGTCGGACTCTGTGATCTAATGTTGGGTAGCGATAGCCATCGTTGTGATTGCAACGCGATGCAATTTGGACTGTAAAAAGCCAATTCTGCAGTGCTGGAGAGCGGCGGATATGCTTCAGTGTAAATATCAGGAATTGAATGGATAGTGAGAGCTACTGGTGGTCTGTGCTGTACTATTCGACATCTTTCAGTTAGCCAGGCAGGTAAGAACAGCGATCGCAGTGATCTATGTGTGGAACAGAACTTGCGTCCTCCCGGCACAGGATGATGCTCGCGTTGTGGTAAACCATGAAAAAGATACTGATTACATAGTCTTGTGTGTATCGCTTTCAGATCACAATCCTGAAATCCTAGCCCAACGGAGTGACGAAGAAAGTCATCCACTAAAGGGAAATAGCGCACTGAAGTGGGATCTTCATGGAAGGCGGGTTCAACGCATCTGTTGAGTAAAAATTCTCGTACACTAAACCATCCGGCTTGAAGGGAGTGTTTGACAGTTTTTAGATGTCGCTCCGCCAGGATACCACTTTTTTCTAGGTCTTCTAAGTCCTCGGCAACTTCGTTCATCTTATAGACGTACTCTTCCACTACAGAGAGTGTATCATCCTCTGAAGATTTCTTCCAAGCTGTTTGTAAGCGCGGAAGTACATCTAATTCCAGGTATCGTTCAACCTCGCATAACCAAGAGGAAACTGTTGCGAGTCTTTCTGTGGCCTCAAAGACAGCTTTCAGTGGAGTAGCCTCACCCCAGATATCTTCAATCAATGCAAAGGAGGATCTCACCTCACTCCTCCCACTACCATCCAACTTGACGCGTCTGTGAAGACTATTGAACTGATTTACAAGACCCACGTTACGATACCATTCTTGTCGCAGATTCAACAAAGCAATTTCACTGGAAGCTGCTTCCTGAGTGCTTGAGGTTAAAACCTCGACCGGAATTCGCATTGCGCGATCATGAAATTCGGAGCAAAGAAGGCTGTAGAAGCTGTGGAGATCATGCAAAAGACCGTCATTCTATCAGAGTACAAAAAATGAGTTTAATTTTCATCTGGTTTTTGTAGTCGCGTGAATATAAACACATACCATGGCCTGGATCTCGTGCTTTTCACTCTTTTTTCCACGACATCCAGGATAGAGGCATTCATGAGATCCAAGAATTTCCAACAAACTCCAGCTGCGCTTTCGTGCCATTGATGCGCTAGAAAATCCATCCACGTGGATGTCGCTGGTCGAGGTCATCGGTGACTGGGTCGTCATTGCTTCGTACTGTGACAAATAGGCAAGAAGACGCTCTTCTTGAGTCATCTCCACATCGAAGGAGGTCACCATCAATTATGCGCAAAACTTACAGTTGTAAATGACTCCGTTAGGGGCAGGCTATAAGACAGTAAAATATCAACATTGAACTCGCTACGTACATCGAGATTTGATTAATGCCTAAGTAGTCATACCCAGCTTGTAGACGACCTAGTTTATCAGCGATTGACTGAAGCTGTTGCCAAGCCTCAAGAATCTGGCAGCCGATTTCACTGGCTTCATAGTCATTTACCAACTTTACTGCTCTTCTGTACAACTCGTTGACGTCGAGATGCTTGGATGGAGTCACTTTAGATGACGGCTGTGAGTCGGTAGACAGGCAGGTGAACAAAATCCTCGCTGTCTGTCTCAAGGCTTGCAGACTTTCCTCCAAATGTGCCACACTGTGACTGCAATCCTACATTACATTAAGTAAAAATCACGCCGTGAGAAATTTTCAGTAAGACGTATATATAACTTGAGGGGTCACGCACGTCTAGAGCACTAGGTGAAGATCCATCCTGGGCCAATTTGTTGAGCCGACCGTCAAGATGTTGGAGATCCTTCTTGATGGCAGACAAAGAAGGAAGCGTCAGATCACTGATTTGTTGTCTCAGCTGACTAGTGTAACTTTGGCTAAAGGATAAAATACATCATTGTTGACGTTGACAGCCACGCGATTAAAGTTATTTTATAGACTTATTACAAAAGATCATGTAGTCGCAGGCACGCTTGCCAAACATCTTCGGTTTCCACACTGAAACCATCGTGAATTCCATGGAAAATTCTGTCTGCTTCTTCAATAGCCATTCGAAGGTTTCCCAATGATTCATCAACAACCTTTTGGGGAAAAAGATTAAATCAGAAATTACTTAATAAATTTAGGAGAGGTTTTCAAGCTAATTCGGGACTATTGAGTTTATAATGGGTAGAATACACAAAATTCAAGGCCCAGAAATAGTATCCCCCTGCCGACTAATGTATACCTAAGACTTCTTGCTATGCAAAAAGACCTGGATGCACGGTCGCTTTGTGTTGTTTGCACCAATACCACAAAAGAATCGCCTTCTTTGCATTGATTATGCGAAAACAGACGTGGTGAATGCTCCTTCAGAGAAGTGAATAACTGCCAGGCAGATGGGCGAGATCTGCATTGTCAAACGTCTGACTGGCTGTCTATGAACCCTTACAGCGCTTAGTCGAATGCCTGACTGTCAAGCAGTTGCCCATCCGATTACAGCAGTGTTCTGTACCAGGCATTTGTACGCTACCATCATCGTTGCAGATCGGCATGAGTTGGGTAGTCCTCCGCTTCAATTTTAAGAGTAGCAGTAGCACTCAGCCGCTACTTATTATTTGTGAGTAGTATGATAATGCACGGCAGTATTTCGGTAAATAGTTGTGAACTCCCTCGCGGTATTTCAAATTACCACACCTTCGTTCCTACTTGTGGAAGTCCTTCCTTTTCGAAACCGAAGCTTCCCTTCACAAGGCAACGTGCAACAGTATTTCGGAAATCAAGAGCACAAATCCGCCAATCAGGTGGCGAGTTTTTGCCCTCGCGTAATTGGCCGGTCGTAATTAACTTCAACAGCGCCTCTGGCCAATGGGAAAAAAGGACACGATTAATGAAGTGGAGTGAAGATCTTGACGTTGCCACACACTGACGGCCGATATTAACAAGAATTTCAGATTTTCGAAGGCACTCCTAGGAAAAAGAAAATCGTCCATCACTGAGTTATGACAAAAAATGGGACAAAAACTACGAAATTGTGTACCTACCGCCACTTTTAATTCATCACAAATCCCGCCTTGCTTATTGTAAATGTGCCTGAATTCTTCGGAAAGATTCCTCATTAAAGTGTAGAAGGTTTCTTCACATACGTTTGAGTTGGGTTTTTCGTAACCCTGTAGGCAAATAATACCTCGGCTTTAATTCAAATCGGCAGGGGCCTTAATTTTTATCATAAACAGATTTCTGGCATTAATTTACTCACGTTTGATTGATAATCTTCAGTTCCTGCATATTTCTCTTCTAATGCTTGAACCTCCAGATCTGTGAAGCCTTCAGTCCTCGCAACAATGTAGTTGAGCATTGTAACACCTTCGAAAATTTTAACTGGCTCACGGGAACCCAGTAGAAGTCCGAGAAGAGACCTCCTCCGCTCTCGTGAGGATCGTTCCATGCCCTCCAACAAGTTCAACAACCTCTAAAATACGAAGAGTAGGCATTTAGTGCCCCATGCTAACTAATTATTAAGACGTGAATATATTCTCCCCCCTTACCCTTCTTTTAGTCGGTTCAATCTCCGCTAAAATTTTTTGGATACTAGCCATCCATGACGTCTTTATATAACCTGCAGCTGTTCCACCAACATCACGGGTCATGTCGCGCGAACTTTGAAGTCGCGAATCAGTTATTAGCCATTCGAGATTAAGAAGGTCTTGGAGGAGTGCGCTGGAATGACTACAAATCGCCGATTTTTCCAATCTGTATTGACAGATGGCCTTCCGAAAGCCAATGAGTGAGGCGTGGAAGCTGGAGAGCCATGCCAGGATTTGGGAGAGAAAGTCTGGAGCATTGAAGAATTCGACAGTACTGACACGTTGAAGCTCCTGAGTGATCACATCCATGGCAAAATTGACTACTTCGATTACGGCTTGAGTTGCAGTGTCACGTTGATCCTGAAAGAAGCAAAAAAGGATTGAATGCAGAACCGCAGCTTCACCTCTAACCAATGCGTTGTGATGTACTGATTTTTGTTAAAGTGCGCTTTTTTCCAGGGTTATGCCGCAGTCTTGGAGGCTTTTAAGCATTTTCTGCTTTTGCAGGCCCTATTACTGTTTCAAGGATGACTCGAGGAACCACAAAAAATCGCCAACTTACTGAGTCTTCAACAAGTATAATGCACTTCCTCCACTCAGCCAACTCCCGAAGAAGGGCATCCAGAGCTCGAAAACACCTTGTGAGACCTTCTAGAGCTCTTGGATACGCAAAACGCAAGGTTTTAAGACGTTGAGATGGATGAAGGTTAGTGAGGAATGCCATACGCTCCAGCAGTTGAACTGCAGAGTTGAGACGCAGAATAACATCCGAGAGAATTTGCAATGTACTCCGAAGGCTGGAAGCTTCGGCATTACAGGGCGTGCAAATTGGTGGTGTTCGTGAAAGAAACTCCTCCATTTCAGAGATTCGAAGGTGCACCAGTGGTGTGTCTTGAAAACTGGCCGAAACCTCCTGTTCAAGTTGGCAAACGAGCTCGTCCATTTGGCTGTCTGCGAACGACCTGGTCTGCAGATACCAACCAATCAAAAGTGCTTCGAAGAAAGAAGATGAGCAGGGCCGGTTGGATGTGGATGTTAAGCTAAAAGGAGATCGGAAAAAAGTTGCCTGATGCCTAAATCTCTATCTTGAATTAGTCGATGCGACCACCACTGCCGGGGTGTTTGACGAAACAGAGGTCAATGCATAACTGAATGGGTGATCCTTTATTTCATCCAAGAACTTAGGAACCGTGCCTAATTTTCTCCCCACCGTATCTTAAAGGCACAGGCATGATACCTAATTTTTTTATTCTATTTTTTGGGAGGAAAGTGAAAGAACAGGCAGTTGGCCCCCTACCGTCGTTGGCAAAGTAAACTTTGCTGAAGAATTGATCAATCTAAACATGGCTCATAACCAAATAGGTGTAGTTTACCCTGTGATGGGAAACCCCACATCTTTTTCAGTTGTTTGGAGCTCAATCAATCTGTTTACAACACATGGTTTGGCGCAATCGCTTATCCATAAAAATGCAAGAAATGCATGTCACATATTTGTGATGTCACACTTATGTGACACTGGTAGAAAAATGACTTTTTAAATTACATACAAGTTAAGCCGTTCCAGCCATTCAGACAACTGTGGCTCCTGAATGGTGTAAATTCCATTCACGATCTTCCTTGCAACTGATGTATACTCCAGAAGGCTCCTAACCACCATGGTGATGAATTCACGGTTTTCTTTACTGCTTGATAGAATTTCTACCGCACATTCAGCTTCGCAACGATCCAAATCCTGCTCCAGTTGACTAATTTCCCATTGGCTTAGCTTTTCGTCTGTAGAACGCTCGAGAACGTCTGCCAAAAATGCAAAAACCGCGCGCATATAAACACGTCATTTAACATTCTACAGTCAATTCACTGCCTTACTGGTTAGCCTGACCGCCAGCGCGTACAAGCCCGAGTGTTCACACACCAACGGAGTGTACATCTCCAGTTGTTTGTAGGTCGTAAACGCGTGGTTATGAATAGCCCTTAAGTCAGCGATAAGTCCCTGGGAAATGTTGAGTTTTCGTTGAACCCCTTCACTCAGAATACATGGGATCCATCCACAACGGTCCTACAGAAGGAGAATGAATGCAAAAGGAGTAGGAATTGGATGTAGGTAGAGGAGGAGAAAAGTGAAGCATCAGATACCTTCAAAAATGTCATATTTTCTGCAAGATTTGATCTGATAAGTTGAAGAGTTTCCAGTGGAGTTGAGGGAGTTTCGAGTTGAGAAACCACTGATGTAGGAAGGAGTGGTAAATGCTCTTTCATTGATTCAGAAAAAGCTGTCAAAACGTCTCCAACCTTCAAGCTGATCCCCTGACAAGGTGTACCTTCTGCTAACTAGGAGACATGAAATGTGCAAAATATGTGAGACAATGACCTGTTGCATTACCAAGTTACCCAAAAATTGGAAGAACATAGAAAGATTCTTATGCAGATGAATGACATTCTACGTTCAACTTATCGTCTCAAGCCGAACTGATCTGCTCGAGAGACCTAAGGAAATCAGGACGTCAAAAATGTTTAATACTGTTAGTACATACCCTAAAGAGGTAGAATATTTCAAAGGTGACCTTGAATGTCTATCAACAGGCTCCTAAGCCTCATCATTAAGAAATACCTCTGCAGTACCAGCAATTCATCGCTATCGAGCACGGCTAGCGTGAAGCACAAATCACTTGAAAAATATAAGTAATAATAAATTTGGAAGTTCACTTTCAATCCTTACCTTTTCGTGGATCTCACTTTCAAGACGTTCCCCTACCCACAATTCCACTTTCTCGATCGTTGCCTCAAGATTGACACCTGGTTTAGCCGTGCCAACAAAGATCCGCACCGCTGATTGGATGCACGCCAGCTGATTGAGGGCATGACGTGCTTGGGGCAAGGGGATACTGCCCTCCCCTGATTGGCTCTTGTCCAGCCAGAGTGTTAAATCAGACAATTTTTGATCAACTAATCGTAGGATGGACGACTCATCTCTCCTTCTGTGCATGTTCACCTGTGAACCAATGAGCAGGTTCTTGTGTGTGGGTCGTTAGGTTATACAGCGGAGGTGAGCTGTTAATGTATGGCGCTTAATGCCTCCTTCCAAATTTTATTGTCATGCCTCATAGATGCGTATAAGCATGTACCTACCTATGGGACATACTTTAAATAAAGCGACATTAAACCCTCTGTATGTGTGTTTGTGTGTGTGTGCCAATTCGAGAGACAAGCACTAACACGTTTGCCTTCACGCTGAAACCTTGTGCAAGTACACACAGCCCAACTTTCTTTTCGTGTCTGGACGAGTTACTTCACTTTCTTTTGTTTTCATCATAACCCGCTTAGACAACTCACCATTTCACTAATCTCAAGGAGGCAGGTGAGAATTCCAAGTAATTTCTCTAGCAATGACAAGGATGCATTTGATTCGTAGATTTGAAGGTCCTATGAGGTGCAAAAGGAAAAAAAGATAAGAAAATAAGAGAGCGGGGCTGATGGAATCAAAGTCTCATGCGCGCCTCTATGAGCAACCGATAGCAAACGAGGCCGGTGAATTAGCTGAGAGAGCGTTATTCTTGCATGTATGAAAAATTGCTGTCAAGATTAGTTATGACGTCAGGTAGCCAGTTGATTGGTGTGAAAAATTGAGCACTGAAGCATTGAATCTGGTAGACACGCATAGAAAGTGGTGTGATACATTCTTCTCGCCTTGGCTTCCGGTTTCCTAACTTTTTTCCGAAGGGTCTCAGACAGAGTTGTCGAGTCCAAAGATCGAAAAAAACTACTACAGGGTTTGGAGTACGCCATGGTGCCTAAGAACAGGTCTTTAATGGGTGGATGACTAAGTGCGTAGCTTCCAGCAGTTGACCGCCTAGTCCTCTCCCATTCCTAGGCTGGGTTTATTGGTCATCTTGTGCACGGTGATCTACGTCCAAATTGTGGTATTACAAGATAATCGACAATCAGACACAGGTGGACGGTGCCCAACGGTGGGGGAGAAAAGTAACTGGTAAAAAAGTGTAAGGCTGTACCTCCTCACAGCTCTGCATTTCAGCCAACTGCATTTCTATTCTACACCGTTGATTTTCTACGTTTGTATCGCGTCCAACACAACCATCGGAGGAATGCTGAATCGTCCAAATGACGCGACCAAGAAAGTCCTCAATTTCGACCAGGGTTTCCGATAGTTTGGTATCTCGTTTGGTAGCCTCCTCGTCCATCATGGAGGCTGGGAAGGCTAGCTCCCCATCCTCCTCGTCCTCAGACACTACCGCCTTTTCCGAATCCTTGATGCCATCTACTTCGGAAAACGATCCCATATTCTAAAAGAGGAAGAAAAAATGTTTAAATACTGGTAAGAAGTTGGGGCAAATGGTTTCTAAAGTAATGGCTGCCACGTGCTCGTGTCAAACCGGGAATTTGGAGTCCGCAGAATTTCCGTGGAATATTGCCGTGTCGTTGCCGTACGGAGTAGTAGTAGTGCCTCGTTAACTGAATGCTAGACATTAATTTCAGCCCTAAGACTGACGTAAAAACGTTTCATTTAACACATGAATCCCGTGGTTTTATACTTTCGCAGCACTCTCTGTCGTTACGATCCCGCCCTCCGTCCGCTGCACATTCAATCAGTCCTTTACCTCGTGAACAAATCTTAGCCTCGTTAGAATGTCTAATCCCACTCCCGGATGCCGGATCGGTTAGTAGCCTGCCATGCGACAAAATTGCACAAGACGCTGCGAAGGCAGTCATTCACGAAAACGTGCGTTTGCCATTTGTAAGGCGTAGTCCACACCAGGCACCAGGGTAGCGTCTCACTCTTGCTTGACAACAAAGTGAGAGTGGTTTAGCCGTTATGGCAATTGTTTTCGATGACATTACTTTGAGAAAGACCCAACGAACAATCCGTTTTTTCACTATTTGAAGCATGGCTTTCTTCGACGGCAAATACCAAAGTCCGATTTGATGTGAGCTGACTTCAAATAAACCTTCTTACTTTGCACCACATGATCACAAATGAACTTTAAGAAAAACTTTTCATCCTCTGTCATGCCATGAGGTACTAAAGTTCACCTTGACATAACAACTCAAGATCGCCACCATAATTATTGCCTCTCAGCTACGGATTTTGAGGTGTAACAGGTACTACAAGGCTTTGGTGACTAATATAGGTGCTCTTTTGTTCTAAGCTACCCTTACACGAAACAACAGGCAATGTGTTCTCCTCTGCTATAAGTGAATGTGAAATTGAGTATCTCAACTGTCAATTTTCATTGTCAAATTGATGTGTTTTTTAATCCACAACGACTCAGGTAGTCCTTTTCGACGTATTTCTCAGTGCTACAAGTCAACAATGGTGAAAGTCCTTGTTCACGGAATTCTCATATCAAGATTACTTCATCCCTTCTGACTGTACTCAGAAGCAGGCGAATGCAGGGTACACTCTTAAGGAGAAATTTTTAGAACACTTTGGGTACAAAAGACGAGTAAATTGAATTACAGATGGATAAGGCAGTAGCTGCCCTACTCCACTTTTGATGAATAACTTGCCAAAAGAGGGAGTTTTTTGTTTTCAGCCTATACTTGTAAGTTAATTCATCTCTCAGGCCATACAGGTGTGAATCCCTGAATATTTAATGAATAGGTGTCTCGACTATCGAGTCAGATTCTTTTCCCCATCCCCTTCTTCGGTCCTCGCCGCCTTAATTGCCCTTAACTAGACCCAATCCGCTGGCATAATACCTCGGTTTTTTTATCGCTCTGGGGAATGACAGAAGCCAAAGCACCAAAAAAGGGGAAGATAAAGTAACCTCGTCTCACCTCTTCAAAGGCCTCCAAAGCAGGGTGGCAAGATGAAGGTGTTTGCTTATAGCAGTGGCTAAAGAGAGCCGGCATGTGGGGGGAAGGGGTTGATAGGAAGAGGCAACTATAACTTCTTGGCAAGATTTGACGAAAAAAAGCCAGTGTGTGTTGCACAACCTGCTGAAAAATTCTACTGTGCCAAGCACAAACATTTGCACGCACACACACACACACAATCAGCTGATCGTGACGATGTCAAATGCACCAATCCGATTTGGTGCCAAGCTCTCTCTGACCTCGGACTTCCATTTTAACAAGCCCAAGTGTATATTTTACGCTCGTCCTTGTTAAAACACAACCGTAAAATACCAACGCAACAGGCCATCTGTGGAGGCGCCATGTCACAGCACCCCAACTGGTATTGAGGGCATTGGATGGAAGTGAGGATGGCGGAGATGGACATTACCCCGTTATTTACTTCATATCTATGCTGATTGGAATTTGGCACGAGGCATTGGATTGTGGTGTACTGTCTCGTGCAGTTTCTTCTCGTGGAAAATGCTTCAAAATAAGTGCCAATATTTCCACTACCTTACAGTACAATCACCACCAATCCAAGAGGCAATAATTGTAATGATTGAAGGACAAAAGGCGCAGATCTTACAATCTGCGCTTTAATTACCATGTAAACAGTAATAAACATAGCCATACTTGTTGTTATGCGCTCCTTTAAACGGAATTTTGAAAGTTCCGCAAAATATCGATTTTTCTCTTGTGTTACTTCAAACAAGCACACAATCTCACCACATTTGGCAACAGCTTTAGGCAATTTATTTCCGAATTGTTTTTCTCCTATTTTTTTTCCTCTTAAAAATGCTAATTTTGGCATCAGTTTTTTTTATTTCTAACGGAAAATCAAGAAAACTTAGTTTAAAAGGTAATAAGAGGTAAAGAAAGTTAGCTCCACCCGTAAGATGTGGCGATGTGGCGAAAAGGGCTACAAAAGTGTACTTCTACACCCCTTTCCTCTTTCTCCCTTTTCGCCTTTTGATGACTCCCTCCTACCGTGGCTATCGATGACCTTGAAAGCTCTTAAAATTCGATTACCCACCTCCCTTCCCTCCATCTTATATCTGCTTTGCTTTTCAAGTTCTTTCATGATTCACACCATGATGAGGAGTTGAAAATGCTTTTACATCTTTTGGCAAGGTTCCGTTTTTGGCTACCACTACCACCACCACCCCGCCTTCCCCACACGAAAGGGAGCACCTAAGAAGCTGACTTGGCTCTAATCTAATATTAGGGATAATTCACTTTCAAATTGCCGTGTCGATGGAATGCTTTCAAAGCAGCTAACTTCCTGAAATTCGTTATCAAGGACAAGCGGTGTTATTCCATTAGGCCCACCACTAACACTCAGAGGTCCTAATTATTCAACGATGAGCTGCGTCACATTCGCTACTTTGTGTAAGGGCAGAAAAAAATGTCCCATTTGTAAATTTGAGCGCCTAATGTGTCTCGAATTTTTTTTGCATGACACGTCGGAATAAGTCATTCCACCAACTTACCTCAAATGGAGAATAGGTCTGGGAGGTGCGCATTGAATCAAGGCGACAGGAGTAGAGTTTGTTGGTCTGCGGATTCACAACAATAAGTTTTTGAGATGGCGAGAAGGACTCGCTCAGTGAAAGTCTGTCACTTTTTGTATTGCGAGACAGAAGGACTGCAATATCATCACGATTGGAGAAATCGACGGGGATAAGGAAACATCTCTCTGTAATTAATTGAGACTTTGAAGAGGGTACTTCAAGACCCGACAGCCAACCCCAAGTATGACTTCCTCGAAGAGGTAGCGTGGGTTTGCTGATGTCTAAAATCTCCTGGATACCGTTCGGTGAGATCACTACGGCTAACTGATTCACATCAATCCAGAAGATTCGAGGGTCTTGTTCTGATGCACGGGTCTCTATACAAACAATTTGCTCCTCCTCAGAGGGGGTTACGCGGACCCCTTGGATTAGGCAATCTGCACCGTAGTGGAGGATATTCAGTCGTCCCAGCAATTGTGAATTCTTCGGTAATAAGGAGGTTTTTCCGCATACAACCTCTACATTTGCTGGAAGACTAATCCAAATGTGTCTCTGACGGTCAGATTTGGAGAGTTTAAAGCGCCACCACTGAAGGGTGGGAATGCTCTTTGATAAGGACGCCAGACAGTGTTCCACGTCCAGCGGTTGTAACATTGGTGGGATAAAGTGAATTTTCTCTGTACTCCGTAGACACTTCCAATGTCGACTCTGTTAGATGTGTGTGTTTGACGATGTGCGTGTGCTAGCGCGCGTGTGCGACTCGTGTGTAAAACGTGCGCAGCGTTGCCGTGGCAGCACAGCGTGGAGATCCTCTTAGCCATCTGATTGGTTACCACACCCATCGTGCAAATAACCGGCCGTTGCGCTTGCGTTCAATAACCGACGCGATCGCAGCCTTCCGATTGGTCGGCCGCTCGGCAGGTGGACTTGACCGACAGGACGGCTTAAGGCGAGACAAAACTACCAGCATTCCAGTCATTTGGGATGTCACAAAAAAAAACGTTTCACGTGACAACAACATCATACAAAATGCCTGTACTTTAAGCCTTGTGCTTGTAAACACATGAACACAAAGCCACAAAAGGTGACCGAAGAAAAGGTGATAAACAATTTAAAAGAAAAGCACAGTTTGCAGAATTTCTTCAAAGATTTCTAAAATCGAATAAGTAAATAATCTTATGTGTATTATCCACTTGACAGGGCTACTTTGCTTGCTCTTAAGCGGAGCCTTTTATTTCTGGCCAAAGAAGGGGAAGAGCCGTGCTGGGGCTTGGCGAAGACAACAACAACAACAATGCACGTACCAACAAAGCAGATCAGCTGATTTGGCTACGATTCCATGCCAAAGACGATTGGTATTCATCTGACATCGTAGAGGGGCACGCTGTCACTCTATTGGTCGCTTAACCTGCTGAGATAGCTTATTGCAGCGAAAAGAAACCGGAGGGCAAGGTGGCAATGTGCACTGAAAAATGTCTACTTTTGAAGTCATTTTTCCTAATAATGGGGATTTTGCAATTGTCAGTTGAATATGACATGATTGTATTACTCTCATTGATTTTGTCAGTTGGGTAAAAGTACTTTTTTAGCATGAGTGGACTTTGGCACTTCTAGCCTTCCTCACAATTTTGTTGTCACTGCATATGAGTAGCTACAGTGGTGATTCATTTCTGATTTTTTTTACCATGGGAAAAGAAAAAACCTGGGAAAGCATTAGAGTGAGGTATATGAGCTGTAGCGTCTAGGGGTTTGGAAAGATGCGCTCCAGTACCACCTAAGACAGCCTATTCCGACGTGTCTACTGATGAAAAAAAGTAGCATGTAAAAAGTAGGACTGACTAAGCGAAATAAGCGGTTAGGTGGCGATTTAAAAGTACGATTAGACAGACGTTGAAAGGTTAATCAAATAAACTAATGGAGGGAGAAACTAGTGATGAGACAAATCAGTAATTCAATGGACGAGCATAAGACTCAATAAATGCATAAAACATTACCAGTAGTCATTGATGCTCACTTTTATAAAGTTTTGTTTCTTGTTTTTCTCGCAATTCTTTTTGATAATGCCACTCAAATTACTTTTGACCCCATTACCCAGGAGCACCCACGTCACTGATATTGCGATTATTGCACCACTGGAACCACGTCAAAGATAAAAGGCGAGATTAAACGCCTGAATTACCAGTAAGGCCGCGTTCATGTCTGATCCACGGCACCAGTTCATACATGTTGCATGAGACTACTGCACTGAATTACAAAATACTAAATGTAAGAGAATAGAAAGAAAGAGGTGCTTGATGACCCTTTGAATAATTTGTGGACTCAACATTTGATAAGTGGGTGTAGGGGTCAAAATTTGAAAGGAAAAATTTGAAGTTAGATGGGTGGATATGGAATGGATACAAGATGGATGAGCGGATGGATGGATAGGTAGATGAATGAGTGGGTACGGGATGAATGGATGATTGGAATGCACGGTTCACTTCCAGCTAGATATATTGATGACGCAAATTCTAAAATAGACAGACCGGGCGGATACTTAAAAACCATTCTGGCTAGTTTACTCCATACTCCAGGTGATTAATAGGCCTGCATTCGGTTACGTTTCGCCGAAGTCATGTCTAAACACAGGATGTATATCTGCGTCTATCGGCTGCATACACCCTCCGCCAGTCCAACACTTCACAGATGTTAATGCTATCCGTATCCCTCACGCAATAAAAGTCTAACGGCCGGACAAAAATAAAGCGAACGAATATGCCTAGACAACAACAAATAAAAGAACATGAAATACGGTCGTCACCGCTAGCCCGCATATCGTTGCTGCCCCAACCAATCCGCTTGCTGCACACCGATTTAATGCAAGTACCGACCCCCATAACCTGCCAAAAAACAAACCCATCGCACATTTGTTACATCTCACAGTCACGCAGTGTTTCATCCAATAGCTAATCACGTGCTTTTTCCTTCCTTGGCGTCGATTTATGGGGTATGGATGGTGTAGAAGCGATTCCGGCTATTCTTCATTCTAGGGCAGTTCAAATGGACCCTAAACTTGAATTTTGACCCCCCCTCCCCCCCCCAAAAAAAATAAAAAAATATTACCAAGTTTCCGGAACTACGATGATTGCAATGGTGGCATGATGAAGATTTTCGTGAGATCTCTGCCCCCTATGGAGAAAGCTTCTATCGATTCATTTAGCTGCCTTATATGTTCGTTTCAATGGCAAACAGAATAATGACAATCCCATGGAAGGTAACTTAATTCCGCAGAAGTCCACAACCTGCGTCAGTGCTGTGACAAACCGAGAATATAGTACGACTGCTTCACGAGGAGTCTTGGTCAAGTCATCTGCCATACCCAGGCTCCAGGCGTACCAGTATGAAGGCAGGCTTATCAAGCAGATGACGGGTATGTACACCACATCTCTTTTTCGGCGTTGCCCTAGACGCTCTCTCTCGTCGTTTATCTGCATTTGTCATCAAAACGTGTACATTGGTGTAAAAATCGTCCACGAACATTACATATTGATGTCTCCAGCGAAGAAGACATTTGGCTTAAATGTCAACAAGAAAATCTGTTGACTCTGACGAACCCGGGACTTGGGTCCCCTTCGCCATGTTTGTGCACCTCAAGGCTGATGTATGCCCCACAAAAGGTGGATCTCTCTGCTTGTTGAGGGTCTATGCATCGTAGCAGTATGTAGTTGTGTGGCAGAACGATACCTAAAAATTACACAGCATCGGTCCTTGCTTCAATCACGCATTCAACTAGCGGGCTCTCCGATCCCTCCTCTGCGTACCTTCGTCTCGCGGTCAGAAATTCTGTGGTAATAACAAACCCTCCTCCACATTAGTAAGGATCACGAACAAAGAAACTTACGCCACGTGCATGTGACGGTGCAGTCGAAGTCCCAAATATGTTGTGTTCTCTGGTAGTTTATGACAAATTGAGGCAAATTTGTTGCCTTGACAACAATAGAACCAGTGTAAAACGTTCCTTTGTTCTGCAAGAAGAGAAAAAATTCGTCTTTTTTCGGTCTCCAGTAGCCGTTGAGTTGGTCAAAGTCAGTAGATTCATGAAGCATTGAAAGTTTGGTGATGGACTCCCCCTTTATAACCTTGAAAACGAAAGTGTTAAAGCTCCCTTCCGACTCCCCCATACCTCAACGCCTGCAGAGGGGCAACACGAGTACCGCCAACTTGATGAAGTCGATTACTGCCCCGAGGTATCCTACCATCCCCATTTGCGGTACGTGGGTGAGAGTAAGGCATCTGATCATTGCAACTCTAACCAACATGCAGACCTGATGCAACTGAGAGCGTTAAAGGCAACCTGAAACATTACAAAAACACTGACGTTGTCCCCACACAAGTAATTCCTTTAAAAAACATCCAAAAAGAACAAGTGGAAAAAGGTGATGAATAAGAAAAAGAATCACATTCAATCCGGGCCAATTAAGAAGGCAAGTAAAAGGATAGACATATTTTACACGAACAACCACAAAACCAACAACAACAGCCTCACGGTCAAATAGGTGGATAAATCCTAGAACGGAATGTTCACAAGGTCAGATTGAAAAAAAGGTAAGACAAGCCGAGATTGAGATTTGAAGCAGGTCAAGCCCGAGTGGCAGTGATTGGAACGTCAGGGTCATCCGACTTTCGACGAATTCGATAGGCGTTAAGAGGCACGCTGTCCAGAGTTGAAGCCATTCGGCGAAGTACTGTGAAATAGGCCACCAGTCCAACCAATAAGCAAAAGCCAACTTCGATGTAGAAGCCGTCTGCGATGGTTCGACATGTACCTCCTACCATTTTACAGGCCTTTACACCAGGAAGATCCTTGCAGGTGGCATTGGATGCTAGGAAGTTTTCTGCAAGGTGCTGCAGCCTTCCCTGTTTTGTGTCCAGGAGATTTGTATGCTTGTTGGATGACATTACAACAGCCATCGCCTCTTTTATTGACGCGTTGTCACAGGAACGCCATGTCAGGGGCTCCACAAGGAAGAGCATCAGGGTGGACGGCAGAGAAACAGCTGGAAAGAAGAGGAATTCATTGTGCACGGTCAGTTTAAACACGTTCGATGACGACTTGACACGTGACAAGTGACCTATTACCATCAGTTTGATAATCAATTCCACAATAAAACAGATGCAGGATATTTCGGGTCAGAGGTTAATTACACTTCTTAGTGTCACAGCAATATTTGATTCGATCAATTCGACGGGACAAGTACAGGCAGCATCCGGATTGTAATGGATAGCCGATGTTTACCTGAAGTCCTAACAGCGAGAAGATTAATGCAATGAACGCGGGTTTTGGTTTCATTTAGGCAGCACAGCCCCTCACATCTACCTGTAGGCTCCCAGCATTTCCGAAGGTAAATTGTAAAAGCATCACACTGATTCGGATCGCTATACTGGTGTCAGCCGTGAGTAAGCCCGATTTGAATAAATAAAAACTGACGCTCCATAGGCTAGATACCAAATTCAAATGCCAACAAAAAGGCGTCATTCGTGGATGGTTTAAAGTGTGAATACTCACCTCAAACGGGTCACTAGAGCGGTAAAGTCCTCAATTTCAAGCCACTAATGTAATGAAATAATAACAACCAGAGAAGCACAAATTATTTTGGGCAACCGATGTCTTGAATGACTTCGATGTGGAGAAAAAGGACGTCCTTTGGATTAACCTCTTCAATTGCTTCTTTTAACGCAAAAAAGTGGAAAAAGGGAGTCAAGTTATGGGTGGTGCACTAAAACTCAGTAATTAATTATGCCGGTCTGATTAAATTTGAAAAAGAGTAAAATGCAAAACGACCTTGGAAAAACCATTTCGAGCGGTCACAGAATACATGAAGCCTAGCATTAAGCCTCTGTGGTGTCAATAGACGTAAATGGCTGTGTTTACGTCGTTAGAAAATAAAGCTAACTTGACAAATGACGCCGTCAAGTGGGCGACGAAAGTTTATGCAAAGGAGTAATCACCAGTGATAGCTGACAATTCGCAGATGGATAGAGCATGTATGCACTGCGAGGAAGGATCAGTGCTGTTACGAAGGAAGCACTGATTACTCCCAGTCATGCATTTAAGCAATTTTACAAAGATCGCTCAGGCCAAGCTGAGGCCTTTGAGTTCGCAAATGACACCGGGAACGCAATCCACTTTTCCACACGGTTTTCCTAATGCCGCATGCTTGCAAAGTTCCCACACATAACAAAACTTGCCATTTCGGCTCTGAACTATCCTGCAGGAGCCTGGTTTACTTCTACATTAATGGCCTACTATCCACCGTGTTCCTGAACGATTGTGCTGCATTAACCGTTCCCACGAAACGAATATTCGTCACCTGTGACACTGTTACACCACAGGTTTTGCTTCGGTCAAAGGTTTCGCACGTTGAAGGTTCGGCCATAGGGGTGGGTGACTGTCGTATTGATGGTTAGGAACGGAATCATTATGGCCAGCATCGTTAATGGTAGACGTACAACCTGCCTTTTGTTAAGTTACCTGACTTGCTGTTCTGGTTAAAGATTTCATCAGCACCCTCATACTTTTCTTGAAGCCTTCCATGTCAGTTTATAAGTCGTGTGCCTTCATCGTTCTTCGTTTCATGCACAACTTGGGAGCTGGAAAACACTTGCTGACTACTTGGAGCACTTCCGTCACAGAACCTTTCGACTAAATTAATAGCTTGCAGAAAAAAATTATCCAATTAGAGCTAGACGAATCATAGACGATCAAACTGCTGATATTGAGGATAAAATTCAAGGCCAATATGAATAAATCGCAGTGTCTAGAGTTAAACAACTCACAAAGGTTCGCGGCGGTGTTTAGAAGAGTCATGTAAGTTCCACCAATAGATGGATCCGCAACACGAGCGTGGAAAGCCATCTGACAGACGAACATGGTGTGCGCAAAGATTGCATAGACGATGAATTGAGTCACCAGAATGATATAAAAACTGGTAGAGAAGGAGGAAGCGGTAGTCGTGCCGTTTAGCATTTCGACTGGAGTAACTCGGAAGTAGTCTATGTAATGTACAATCACAACGGCTGATAGCGAGATCAAAGCCCTAAAAGACGACAGGGTAGAAAACAAATAAGATGTTGGATAACTCGGTGATATGACATGGACGAATAGATCGCAATTGCACCTAGGTACCGCAGCGTTGAGAAAGACGCCTAGAGGACGTGGACCATTGCTCCAATATGTGACGCAGATTGGCAGAAGGGCTTCCAAAGGTAAAACTGCAGAACCAATCAGTGCCATTCGCTCCTTCGACACGCCGTGTTCCAGCATCTTCAAACCGAAGACGCTATCTGCTGCTGAGAAGACGAACTGCAGAAAGAAGAAGAGGAACGAGGCATCTATTAAATACTCATTAAATCCAGCAACTCCACAGAATTAGAAATCTACTATCCCTACCTGTATGCCTATTTAGCAATTTGTTTGACTGTTAGTGGGTCTGTGCCCGATTATTTGATTGGCTGTCCACTTGTCAACAAGCCATGTCCATCCTAACAGCAGTATAATTCCACAAGTCTACTTATATACGTCCAAGTTAATCAACCATACAGGTGACCTCCCAAATCAAATCAAGATTTGTAACTTCACAGGTTTACAAAAAGGGAAAATAAAGACGGAGGGAGCAAGTGTGTGCCACTACGAGTGCTAAAACCCGACGCACAAACTACGCTTAGGGCAGCACTGACAGGCACCGATGAGAGTGATGGCGTGCAGAGAACAGGATGACCGAAGTAACTTGTGAATAACAAAGGCGCACAACTGAACACCTGTGGAAGACCTCCGGCACAGTTTGTGCGTGCCATAATGAAATGACCAGCCGAAACAGCAAGATAGGTAACTTAACCAAAGACAATTTGTACGTCTGTCATTTAAGGTGCTAGCCATAATGATTCTGTTCCTAGTCAACGACACGACAATCACACACCCCTATGGCCGAACCTTCAACGTGTGAAACCTTTGACTGAAGCGAAACCTGTGGTGTGACAGTGTCACAGATGACGAATATTCGTTTTGTGGGAATGGTTAATGCAGCACAATCGTTCAGGAACACGGTGGATAGTAGGCCACCAATGTAGAAGTGAAGCAGGCTCCCGCAGGATGGTCCACAGCCGGACTGGGAAGTTTTGTTGTGCGTGGAGACCCTTCCAAAATGGGTGAAATAATGCTGGATGGGCGTCAAAATCCATGACGGTTCCGTTGCTTGAAATTTGTTCTTTTCAGTTATTTGTATAACATAAAATCTCGGTTCGACCCTGACTGACCTTTTATACACATACGCCTAACAGTAACCGCTGAGTTTTCAGGCGTAAAATGTGGAACGACCACGTAATCGCTGTAGAATTATACTCCTTGGTGCAACATCATATCCGGTTGGAGTAGCGAAGATTGGCCTACAAATATCGACTTGAAAAATTCTTGCCGCCCGTGGGAGATTCGTCATGGAACCGTAGTACAGTGATTTAGTCACTGATCTACAGTCTAGGTATAACGTTCTAACGCTCTGAGAGGCAATTTTAACCAATGAAACGACCCATGAGGGAAGTGTACTTGGAGGGCTGAGTTGATAGCCAATGGTCATACACCATGCCATGTGGAAGAGTGACCTGAGCCAAGACCAAAACTGGGAATGAACTGAACCAAGCCGTTCTGTATTACACCTACGGTGACACTTATGCGCCTGAAGCTGGATTCTTTCGGGTTCCAAATTGGCAATAATCAGTTTGAGCGACTTCGATGAGGATGTCTTCAGTGCCAATCAGTATGAGCACGACTGGCTGATTACCAAGAGCACAGACTGATCAAACTTTTGCCTATTTGTCGCATTTTGATTAACGTTGCCCTCGTGGTGACTACTATCACGAATAAAGTCTATTTGTACTTCATATTGACCAATCAAAAGATCTGCAAGACAGCGCAAGTTTCGAGATGTTCCAGCATGATTGGGAATTAGGCACGAGAGAATTTGAAACAGAAGTGCTTCTTGGCTTCACAAACATCTCTAGACCAAAATGAGTAGCGCCTCAAAGGCGGCTTCTATATTGAGGCTAAGACCTCAAAAAGGCTTTTTTTCGGTAGACAAGATTATTGTCGGTGTCGATCTGACGACTTGGCAAACTGTCAACCAATCCATGAATGCAGATCATAGTAAGTGGCCAAGATTTGTCTCCGTACAACAGGCTAATCATTTCTTCGCTGACTCTTCACTTTTTTGGCAAAAAATGAGAAAAAAGCACTGTAGGAGCGTTGGATACGGCGCTTGTTTGTCTGGCTGCAAATCTAACAATGACCTTTTCTGCCTCTTATTTTTTGTGTTTATTTTCAAAATTCTCGCCTCCTTCATTTATCCACTCACTTGACCTCTTAGATAACGGGAAAACTTGTTCCTCCATTCGTTTGATCATCCACTCATCAACCAATTTATTTAACTACTCACCTTGACTTCTAATAAATCGGCCTGTCATCCAACCAACTAGCCAACGGTTCGTCTAAACGGTCGTTATCTGACGGGAATGTGCATTAGACCGTTTATTCACAAACTATTGACCAAATAGATGACAAATCTTTGCACTCATTTACTCACCTTGATAATAAATACGAAGGTAATATAACGAAGCACTGGTCGCAACCGCAGAATCCTCAGCATAACACGATACGTCTCCCAGATGGTGAGATATTTCGATGTCTCGGTTTTCCTCGTCTCAGTGGTTCTCTCCATTACCATCGCTTGTGGTACAATTTCCAGCTCCCCAGTTCCATTCGAAAGGAGGAGACATTGTGACTCGTCTTCAATACTATCACCAAACACCTCCATGTTGTGCTGTGGCTGTTGTGATGATTGAACTGCCTCCATGAGTGTTGTAGACTCCTTTTCCCGTTTGAAAAGGGCTACCAGGGTTGTTGAGACTATGAAAACAATCCCACAGATGTATAGGAAGCCTGAAAAAGTAATAACCTATCTTTAACCTGTAGTATGGGTTCCAGAATTCACCACATCTTCAATCCTAATGATGTACTATCAACATCACTGGTCCGTCAACCATTCTATTAACAGGCCTACAACACTAAATTACAAGCCTTACTGTTCTGGCCAAGCATCCAATCATCGCACAAATAAAGTGCGCCTAAAGCCTCCTATGAAAGCTGACGAGTTGTCCGCCTTCACTGTTCACAAGAGATCTCCCTCATCACCAAACCCTGTTCCATGCACCTACTCACTACTACTGTTGCCTGGGCTCTTAATTAACAAAGTAGTGACTGGACTGAAGCTCTGCATCTTAGCCAGCAACCATGAGAGATACAAAACAGGGGAATTCCAAATGACTGAATAAAATTGAATCACGAACCAGCTGTACAGCTGGACAGATAACGCGGTGATACCAGTAGAAAAGTAAAGTGGAGTATGAAAGCAACTTCGGAGAGGTGGTGCTTTACATTCTGCATTTGAATGAAAAGGTCTGCTTTTAGGCAGCTGTTTCTAGGGACAACAATTAGCATATGGAATGTGCACTCTGTTAAATACCATAGCATGTTTGCACAAAGAGGAAATCATAAATAGGTAACAAAGTTGACTCCATTGTTTGGATAACATATACAAAGAAAAGTGCAGAAGAAAGGCATCATTTACAGGTTGGTGAATCTGTCAGCGGAGGCTTGTGACAGAGTTATTGAAACGATGTTAACTTCTGGACAAATTACCCATCCCACGATCAGCATAAGGAACAAACATGGCCAATTTGATCAGGAAAGGGAAGCAAAATCGAGGCTCAATATATGTCAAGGTTAAAAAGGTCTAAGGAGAGCCTAGATACACGGGTGGGGGGTATGAATGTGGGATCGGAAGAGGGGTGAATGAATGTATTTGTTGTCTCATTAAATTGAACTCTACTTTCAGGCAATGCTTTCTACTAGAGGCGGTTTAGCAAAAAAAATGCAGATAGTTACACACCCTCGGGCAACGCCTCTTAAGTGCATTACATTTGGCAAGCAGAATGTGTGCCTACGAGATGCAGCACAACCATGGGCTTCGATAGGATCTTCATTTACATCTCGGGAGTTAGAATGAGAAACACAATAGAGTGGTCGAAGGGAGCACCACGAATGATGTGCAAGATAAGATAGCGCCAGTGTAGTGGAATGAGGTTTGCTTTTGGAGCCGAATCCCGGTATATGGCGGTCAAGTCGACTGTATGTAAATACGACACCTCTCGAATAGAACTCGAGCGATACATGCAATTAATCAACGAGCAAAGAACCAATCAATCGCTGAATGATATAGGAGAGAGAGAAAAGAAATGAGGAAGTCAAACTAACCGGAAAAGCTGACTATCCCTTTATCTGGCACCGGTACGGTGCGCAAATAGGTATTGCAGACGGTGGGGGACTCAAGAGCCAAGAAGACTATGAATCCAAGAATGTAGCCTATAGTCTGTCCCACTGAATTACACGTTGATGCCCAACCCACGTTCTCTCTGAAACAAAAGATCAAATTAGAATTAAACGTCAATTTTGTAGTGGTTGGGAGATTAACATTAGGCATACAATATCCCATTATTGACAGACTTTGGCAATCGGAAATACTGCAGGTATGTTACGTATCCGAAAAAAATCGACCATCATCGTTTGGACATTTTAATGGCCCTAGCATGGCATTAACACTTGCATCCGTCTATTTGTGATCCAATTTAGTGCACCCGCATGTCATAAGGTGATAAGGAACACATTTTACACATTTATGACAAAATCGGGCAGTCATATATATGTTAGGCTTGAAATGAAAACGCCAATGACTTGGAAAGATCTCTAGACCGTTGGGTGAGTACACAATATGTTTAGACATCTGCCAATGACAACTATTTAGGTAAAAAAAGCAAAAGAACAGGCAGACCTATAGACAGGTCAGTGCATCAACTGTTGGATCAACTAAAGGATCAAATTAATGACAGTAAAAAAAACAAAACTTACGCAGAAAGCATCGTTAGCGCCCACCCATCAACCACAATGTCCTGTGTCGCTGCCAGCAGCGTAAGCCCAAAGAAGGCAGCAGTGAGAGGCCAAATTTGTACTGCTCCGGCCACTCCCAAGGGACCCCAAAGATCGCCCTCGCGTCGGCCTAGCCATCGATCCACATAACCGCCGAGGACGCAGAGGTCAACGCCCAGGGCATACTGCACTGGCAGGAGCCAGGTCTTGCGTCGACCCAGGCGTGGTACGTAGAGGGCATCGACAAACGGCGCCCAGGCGAGTTTGAGGGAGAAAGGCCAGAAGACCCAAGAAAAGATGGCCTGATAGCGGTAGCTTGCTGTGTGCTCGTCCGACTGTAGCAGAAAGGGTACTGCGGAAGCCAAACCTAGAGGAATACCCTGAAAGACAGACAATAATTGGAAAATGCCTCAGCACGGCCACTAACGGCGCCACAGACATGCGACATCCCACTTTCTTCACTTGAACCTGGTTAAAGGATGGATAGATAATGCTGATGGTTTAAGGCTTACTCTAATTTTGGACTTTTCTAGCAGCAACTGAATTGATCAGCTAACCGGACCATTAAAAGTGCCAAATGCCTCCCTTAATGAATTGTACTTATCTCCGCATGTCATGTGAATATGGGCATTTATCTGATGCGTGACCTTCAAAGGGAGTCGACGATGCCACTCTGAGGCAGTTCGGATGCATCTCTCGTAGAATTTCTCACCACAATCGGATGTTCCACTGCTATTCTGTGAGGAAGGAACGGAACCACTGCGACCCGCATCGGCTAATCGGTTTACGCGATTTGATTAAATCTTCGTACTGCTAAGCGCCTGAGCACCTCATCACCGTAGTGCACCGTGCTTAATTTCTTCTGTACGACTAATTTCCCACGAGTTCGGGTTTTATGCCTTCGTTATCCACTAAGAAAACTTGTTCGCTGCCATATTCCAGTCATGTACACAGTACCACCCATCCCACATGCTGATTAGCGATGTTTGAATTGGACTGAGTGAAAAGCAAAATGTACCACATTAAACGTTACATTTGAAAGAGCACACTAGGCGCTGGTTACTGCATAACAACCTGCAGAGCTAAACTTTCCTACACCAACAGTTTAGCTAGTAAATTACACAAGTCAGGATTTTCTCATCCAAAAACTATCTGCAAAAAACCGACTCATACACTATAAATATATCTATATGAATGACAAGTGAAGTTGGAAAGTCTGTTATCATCCCACGTTGCAGCAAGTTTAGAGCAAGGAAGGAAGGATATTCAGAGGGTAAAAAAACTTGGCTAAAAGTAAATTGTTAAATAACGATTAGCACAATCTGTGGACTGGAAGCCTTATTGTGCTCGAACGACCCAACAATCAGATAGAAAAGGAGGCGAAAGATTCTACGAAAAGGAACTTGACTTCGGTCAAGTCCATCATGCCCTGTGATCTTTTAATTTATCTTCTTTAAACCATATTGTTCACGTACCTGTATAGTGATGTAACTGCGCAGACAGCTAGAAAAACATACAGCTATTTCACAAAGTGAGCGTAGCTAGCTACTGAATGCATAATAAAACAGAGCACGTCAATTGGTGGCTTTAGCAGGTAGTTCCCTACTTGCCAGTGATATCTGAACCAGCATCAAGATAAAAAGAGCTGCTAAGGAATAAGATAAGCCAATTTTAAATTGCTTGTGAAGCGAGCCTAAAAGACCGAATTGAGTCGACAATCAATGGAGCCAAAGCAGTAGCGCAAAAAACTTGAGACACCAACAAATGAATTTATCAGCCGATAAACAGACGGCGTAGACATGCCAGAGTGAGGTAGGTGGTGAGTGAGAGGAATCTCGTTCCAGAAGCCTACTTTTTTTTTAAAAATGACAAGACAGATGAGTTAAAGTCAAACATGAGGCTCTAATTTAAGCTACAGATACATTCATCTCAAACCAAACTTGAACTAGCAACAGAACCAATAGGGCTGAAGTGATGTCAAACTATAAATACTTAATCCTCTCATACAAGTCCTGAAGGAGAGCCGGACTAAAAATACCAACTGTTGAAAAATAAGGCATCGCATATCATATTACTTTGCGTAATTAAGTCAGTCATGAGCCAAATTTAACTGCGAAACAGCATAGAAGAATGGACACCACAAAAACTCAAACAGCAACGGCAAACCTCTGCAAAAAATTTCGGCGTAAGCACATTTGAAACACGTCAATGAAGGATGAAGGCGTTTGAGCAAATATGGTCAACCAAGAGCCGCATTTTGGCAGGGAAAAAATAAAACCAATTGCCTACGAGAAAACAAAGGTCATGAGCATGTATTACCAGGAAGTCCACTAAAATTTTGCAGTTTTAGCAATAATGAATTTTTCATATGGAGAAGCAAAAACCAAACCCCTTTCGTATAAAACGCAGCTTAGAACAAAAAAACCATTGATAGCATTGCATTTTGGTAAATCAAATTTTAGAGTCAACTACACGCAAACAAATGGGATACCCAAGTATTAGAGAACACTTATAACTAAATAGTAAAAATGAGAAAAGAGACAAAATTCATGCACGCAAAAGTGCCTGCTCATGAAATCTAGTGGCATGGCTTTATAGGGTATGTGATACTATCAAATAGGGAACAGCTTGATGAGTTTCTCGTGAAATTTAAAGAAAAAAAACAATCAAATAGAATAACAGCTAAGCACGATATGCGAAAAGACGCAAAACTACTAGACTCTGGAAAAAAAAAAAGATCCATGAAAATACGATAGTCAAGACGATTGCAAGAAAGGGAGAACTAACGCACCTGGAGGATGTAGAGACCAGTGAGGAGGAGGACCCCAGAGACATCTCTACATTCTTTAGACTTTTTCACTTCCTTTTGAGGCTGTGATGCGCTAGGCTGTGCTTTCTGCATATTTCTACGCCTCGTGACCATCGTGGGCCCAGTCGAAGGTTGCGAACGACCTCAAACATTACTTCCGCAAATCAGGTTGCGGCTAGACTGCCCTGACGTTTTAATTGATGTATGGCTGCGAGCATCCATTCTAAAAATGGGTTAAATCACCTGAAAAGCAGCTAAATTAAATTTGACGCAGCTTTACAAATTTTTGAGAGACGCCACTAAGTCCATTTAACCTGCAACGTCAATTAACTGATAGACGTTGGGTAAATTTCAGGGGCACAGTTGCCAGATAAAATATCTGGATGGGTAAAAAAAAATATATGTAATGCGATGTTGGTTGTTCTCTCAATATTGGTAAGGCACCACTGCTGTGCTTTGAATTAGCCCCCTTGTACCTCGCCGGGTGGGCTGGCCTTTCGGGCCATGCCAATAGCCCGGACAACTTCTCTGTATTAAATATACATTCTGCCCAAGTATTGTCTCCTTTCGTCTTTGAAGAGTCTCGGGACGCTACACATATGCCTCAGTCCCAATCTTGGCAATAAGATTCACTGTTACGCTGCTTAGCTTAAACGTTCTGTCATTTACAGACGGCATCTAGGTTAGTAAAAGTATGGGCACATACGGGTAAATTATGCAGTTTTATCGGCGAAAAAGAATAAAAAATGGGTTTAAGTCTGCCAAACCCTGAAATATCCTAGTTAAACTTTTATGGAGGGCTACCAGCTAGGCAGATATCTGGACATAGATTGCAGCTTGACGTTCCAAAACATTCGTGGTTTTAACACCATAATTTTAAAACGCAAACCGTTATCGAACAATAGCTTTTGTCCTCACAGCTTCATCCTCGATTTGAAATCACATTCGAGACTTTGCTTTACGCGTCATTTTGGCCGGCATAAGTAATTTTGTTGCCTTTGTTTTGATGTTTGGAGTTAAGATATCTAGATAACTGCCAATTTATAGTACAAGGGATCTGAAAACGTTTAGAGTGTTATCATTAATAGAAACGAATATGCTAGCGTTTTGCCTGAAGCAAAAGCTTAATTTATAAGTAAGTTGAAGTTTTGACGTATTTTTTCTAAATTAGCGCATAGTGCCAAATTAGTTTAAACCTGTCGATTGTGGCTTATTTTGCCATCGTCGACCAGTAGAAAGTGTGTCTATTTTTTGGATTCACGCGTTGCAACATATGGTGGCTTCCGGTTGCTAATCCTTCATTCATTCCAAAACCGTCTGGTTTATAGTGCTATTAGATGGTGTCCACCGTCTTTCATATAGAATTTCTGATTCTTCTCTAGGTATGTGCTCATGGAGAATAGCCTCCACACGTTTGGTCCATTGGATAATTCGAAATCCTTCACACTGGCAATAGTCTTCCATTGTACCTGTGCCGGAATGTACTTTAGACTTTAGCATTTTTCCCCCGGAACTTCGTTGACTCATACTTCTCATTATCGTGTGGTTATTCAGGCGTTTTTGAGGTTCACTTAATTCATTCTTCTTTTTTTAGCCATTTTAACAACATGGACGCATATTCCAATTTAATAGAAATGGGCTTCACTCATGAAGCAATCGAAATGGCACTTGAAGAAGGATGCTCAACTACGGAAGAAGTTGTTGATTTCCTCTGCAGACAGTGGGTTCTTGCTCATCCTTTCTACTGATTGCTTTGACGCACTTTTTTATGGGTTGAATTGTATTTTTGTGTATATGCCTAATTGGCCTCAGAATATGTATCTAAGCCATGCTTCGCAGTTAACTCCAAGTCCCTTAGCGTGTCATGGCATTAAGTTCAATTGATATGATCCGTAGTAATTGCACAATCTCTTTAGAGTTCTAATACCGTTTCTCGATTTTCTTAGACCTAGAAATTTCAAACCCGGAACTCTACGCCTTCCAAGGTCGCGAAGATCCCGTAAGCATTTAAAGAACAGAAACGCTTCGGACTTTACGTTAATTTATCTCATTTCCCTCTTTTTATGTAGAATTTGATCGCCTTCCATTTATACCATCAGAAGCACTTATTGATTTGCAGCCTGGTCCTATTTCCTCATTTTCTACAACCGAGAATCGGGCGGAGGTGCCTGAAGAGGAACATATGGTGAACTTCCCATTCGTTGCCTCTATTAGTTAACTGTCAGACTAGGTATACAAGTACACTCTTTGCGCGCTCACAGGTTCGCTCCCGCTATAGTCTTCGCAAACCATCGCCAAATAAACAACAGGCGGAGGCTAGCAAGCTGGCAGCAGATTTGCGAAGGGAGAAACAGTTGGCCATCGAAACGCGTCTTCGGATTCGGAGAGAAATTGAGGAGGAAAGGGCACTCAGGTAAGGATGCTGTTATTTCCTTGCTTCCTTTCCTTCAGGTGCTTAGGCAATATCTGCTAGTCCCTCTGCATTGTTAATGGAACTTGCCGGACCATGAGCCGACTAGTTTCTTCATTTGTTTAGATTTTTGCTTTCACCTTTGCTGAAATAGTAAGCGTCTTCCATCTTTACCACCGCTGCTGCTAATTTGCTCATTAGATGCTCGAGGTGGATGTCTCTACTGTTTACCTCCCCCAAAGCTGATCTGGGTTCAGTAACATTACCACCGTTTTTTAAATGAACACTTTTTACGGGACGAAACCTCCCATATACCCTGATGACCAAAAAGTGATGTTTACCTAACTGCCAAGAATTCCAAATCAAATATGCAAAGCGTTGTTGGTGTGAATCTCACTTCACTCTTAAAACAGTGCTTGCAGGCATTGTGTCCTCAGCCATTTTGCAGTGCGAGTGACCTCCTGGCTAGCGCACTACGTTCAATACAATTCACTTCGTGCTTTGCTTGTAGATTACCAACCTCTAATTACAAATGAGTAGTGTATTACTGTCCCACTATTTTGTAGAGCTCAGAAAGCAAATGAACGTGAACAACAACCGGGTGACAAGCTAACAGTTCCCGCTGCAACGGACACTACCCAGGCTGCTTCTGTATCCGAGACCTCCTCGCAACTCAAAATTCGAGTTAGTGCCAACGTCAACTTTCATGTTACACCATTAAGCGGTCCGTGCAGGTCAAACGGGAAATTTAAGATGGATAATAGAGGAGAATAAATTCATGAAGTGATGACTGCATTGGTCTTTTCCCAACACACCCACTTGCTGCATTTCCAGAAATGCACCCAACATCCAATTGAGTCAGTTGATTTGTCTCAGGAAATTTCATTCATCGCCAGAAGTTTGTCCTTGAGCAAACGCACTGGGTCAAAAGCGGCATGTGGAACTGCTATTAGTGTGTAGTATGACACAGCTGCCACTTGCCACTGCACGTAGCGCCACTATGATTGCACCAGTTTTGGATTGTGTCTGCAAAATTTGAAGCTTTGATTCCGTTTTGTCATCTGCACTTTTTACTATTGTCAGGCATCCTCTGCGTTAACAGGTTACCATGCCATCCCATTGGCCCTCATCTTCCTCCCCATTGATCGGTCAGTTTGATCGAGCCAGCGCAACCCAGGCAGACCTGGAAAACTTTGTTCAGAATCTTCTCATGGGTATTTCGACAGATGAACACGAGCAATTGACGTTGTGTCTTCCTTGCATCCATTTGTCCACCGTGGGGACACCACGACGTCAGTTGAACCATGAATCGACAAGGAACACCCGTCTGGTTGATCTCGGTATCATCCAAAATACCCGTGTACACGTATCTCATGGTTAGTTCGGATGTTAGGAGGAGTTAATCTTTGCAGTACCTTCTTGACAAAAATGCATACCACCTATTTTCACATCTCCAAGACCCAGCGGAATGTCCCGCAAGCCACGTATCAGAGCCAGCTGCTGAACCGATGGTGCTGTCTACCTCCCCTTCGAGACCGTCTAGTCCTGAGCCCACTTTACCACCATCACAGACCCCAAATCAAATTCGTATTCCGCCCCCACCTCCGCCGCCACCGCCACCACCACTCCAGAATTCGAACTCAGGACCCAACTCCCAAATCCCGCCTAGGAATTCGCATCCTCCAGGCAGATCTGGTAACTATAAATTTCCCCCTTTCCCATGTTTCATCCCCCTTGCTGTTGTATGTATACGAAGGATGTTCAAGTTGGACCGAGACTTCTGGTTTTATGGATACATGTGGACAATACTACATGCATTAGTAAATTTAACTATCCTATGTGATTAGGTTCAGCTGCAATCTGGCGCGCTTTACAACCACGACCACTGTTAGATCCCCCCTTGACGGGAATCTACAGACATAAAGACATTCCAAGTCTCCATCGTCTCTGTCTCAAGTCAGTGGTTAGTCTGGTGGAGGCTGCGACAGAGGGTGGCAGTCGATTTGACATTCATACCAAGTTGGATCGGCTAACAGAGCTACGACATCGTGGTGCGGTGACGGCTCTTCGCTTTCTCACTTCCGGCGTCTTTCCTCTGCCTCAAAATCTTGGCGCTGAAATTGTGACGAAACTTTGCGCCAACCTCACCTTCAACGTGGCATCTGCTAGTCTACTGAAAAAGTGAATTCAGCTTTCTTAGAGCATGCGGTATATTGCACTCCATGGTGCGCCTATTTTTCCTTTCTTTTCCCTACAGTTTTATTTGCAATCTCAACCTCAAGCATTATAGCATGGTGTCGAGTGAATTGGTGACTACCCTTGTCAGAAATTGGTTCTGTTTGACAAATCTGGATTTGGGTGGCCAGCTCAATTACATCAGTCCCTATGCCATTCAGGAAATCGGCGGTGAGTCGAGCTCGGTACTTATTTTGCTCAATCAGGGCATATTTATCAATGTCTCGTCATTTACTGAAGTAGAATTGAAAAACCTTCGAGTTCTTTGTTTGGACGGATCCAATGGTGTCGATAATAACACAATTAATGCAATCGCAAGTGAGTTGACGCTTCTTTGTTTTTTCATATTTCCACTCACTCCCATTGGTGGGTTTTTCAATGAATAGTCCCGAGTCATCCCTGAAGACATAAAAGCATATTGGCATTGAAGAATCGTCTATTGTTAGCGCGCAGAAGATTTGGATGTCTTTGGGCTTGGGCGGGGAATCATGCCACCAAGTTGGTGGTAGAATCGGTGGGTACTTGAACAATTGTTTTTACCCCTATTCGTCACAAGCACTCCCTTGGGCCCTTTTATGCCTGATTTGGGAAATGCTGCTCATTGGTTGGTGGTTGGGATTGTTGAACATCGCGTTCCCCCCGCATGACGAGCTAGATCGGAGTTGAGCTGATTAGGCAATTGGGACTGCAGATTGGACGCTGTTATATGGTCATCATGTTCTTCACTTCAATTGCTTTTCTTGGTGGCATTTGTTCAAAAGTCACCTAGCGTAGCGAGATGTCACTTTAACAACGACCGATTCGCTAAGTCGATTTCAATCCTCCAAAACCTGGTCTTGACCCGTCAGTGAAGCTTAGATGTGGGCTTTCTAAAGGTTGACATCATTCTCTAGTGCGTCACTGCATAGGCACCCATTCTCAGCAGACAGCTGTGACGTTTAGGTCTGATAATCGACCAACGTAAGGCGGATTCGTTTCCAATCAGGTCAAATTCTCAACTATGCTTTTATGGTGAAGCTTTATCTAGTCCGACTTATCTCTTTCGCTTCTTCAGCGCTTCCTAACTTGGAGGTCCTAAAAATTTCGCGAACCAACGTCACCAACGATGGTTGGCGGCAACTTGAATCTCTGTATGGATTTGGAAGTCAGTCGGTCGCTCCATTGCGTTGTCTGTCTGTTTCGGATACCTATTTACACGATGTCGGTCTCTGTTCCATTGTTAAACTCTTTCCAGGGCTACTAAAACTCGAAATTGATGGAACCAAGGTGAGAGAAGTTTTAAGAAACGACGAATCGAATTCGTTGGCCTTGAACTGAGCAACAACCATTTTTTCCCTCCCCCCTCCCTTCCATGGTAGGTCAACGGCATCGCGCCGGTCGTGAGTCGGGTGACTCCGTTGGCCCACCTTCGCTATCTCAGTGTGAATGCCACGAGCCTACTCTGCCTCCCGCCCTGTCTCCTTCCCCCACTCACAGTCAGTCGTAACGGTCTAACTCGGATTGATCTCCGTCACTGCTTTGACCTTCGAGTAGAAAAATTTTTGGGTCAAATATTGGGTCAGCCAATTGCCTACCTCAATGGCTTTTTCAGCCACGAGAAAATGTCTTTCCAGTGTCTTCATTCCCTTGCTGGTAGTATTTCAACTTAAGCGGTATCCACGTAAAGAGTGTATTTAAAACAAGGAATTCTTTTTTCTCCATAGATCTACACCTTCCCCTCGCAGAGGTGGATTTAACTGCAGTAAACAGATATAAGGAACTTTCACTGTTGCGTCTTTGTGGACTTTTGAAAGAGTTCACGACTCCTCAACTTTCCAGCCTCTTTCTACCAAGAGGATCCATTAGCAGTGTTGAAGAGGGCTCTCTCGACGAGTTGATGGAGAGCCTGGCCTCGATGAAAAATCTACACTATCTGGATTTTGGGGATCAGGCAGGGCTCCTAACGCCGCAACAGCTCTTCACATTGGTTGGGCGTATGCCTTCGCTCGGATGTGTGGTCGCTCGAAATTTGACGTGAGTTCAGCGCAGAATTTTTCAAATCAAATTCCCGAGTTTCTTCCCTGATGGCGGTTTGGAACATATGCGTCTCGTAGTAACTCACTTTAAGCTATAAATAATGGGTGGAAGATTTTTAGCTTAGGTAGCTCCGCATCCATGCCGTAGGCCGAATCACGAAAGGAGATTAGTCTACCTAATTATCTTGCCGAAAGGATCCAGCTGTGCTGGTGTTCATCTGTTACGTTCCTTGCGAACCGCATTTCACACGGCTCTGCCGCCGGTGTGGATCTCGAGTCGCGCCTAAAGGGATGGGTGAAGTCTCCTAACAACCTTGTAGAAATCGACTCACCGAGGATTTGATTGAAGCGCTAGGAGTTCCCGTTCCTGAGTCAGTGGTTATGAAATGTCCTTTTTATAGAGCGGAACAGGAGAGCTGGTTGCAACGTGGCTTGCCGACACAGTGCCGTCTGAGGGTTCAGAAACACACGATTATCGACAGTGGAAATAGTAACAACACCAGCGATGCAGTTCTACCACCGGCACCATTTAATCAATAGTCATGGTAACTTTTCCTTTTCACCGGAGGAGGAGGGGTAAATGGGGATGGTTTGTGTCATTGCATTATTTTACTGTTTCATTCAAATAAAATCTTTAATGGAACAGCTTTCAAAAACTGCACTTTTCGTCAATTTGCAAGGACAGCAGACTTGAAAGGGTAAGGTCATAACTTCCTGGCCATATTGCCAAAGCAGAAGTGAAAACCATGATGATTATGGATTTGGCGTCGTTGACTGCTAGTTCATGGCTCGATGAATGAGATCCGTCGGAGATGTAGTGATTTGGTACTTCACCTGTGGGTTTCCCTGCTAGAGCACTCCGGTCGTCGGAGGCTTGGCTTCCACCTTGGTAATAGGTGCCTGGACTTTCCGTTGTACGGCGATAGGCATTCCCTCCCAAGACTTAACTCAAGTTGCCACAGGTACAATAAAATTGCGTAAATATGGAGTGTATGACGGGGTCTGAGTAGGTTAAAAAGCCATAAGACGATTCTATAGAATTAAGAAGGACGCTGGCTGTTGTTTATGAAAGAAAAAAAACACTGAGTATGGAATATCACGAAACAGATTGTAAATAGTCGTCTTTAGGATCAAGCTGTCACTAGGAAAAAAATTGGAACCATATTATTTTGACAGAGTGGAGTCTGGGCTCACGATAAAAATATAGCTCTTAAAGAATTATCTGAATTAAAATTTCTTCCGTCATCAATGGAAATCTATGCATCTCGATTCAAAAGTACTTTGGTATTTTCATTCTTGAGAACAAAATGACTATATGTATTGGCGCTGCGTTGCTTATTCAATTACTAATGAATGTGTCAAGTGCAATTATTTGTGTATAATACTAACACACCCAGAAGTTGTTGAAGACGCACAACTCATTATGTGAAGTGTCACTCCACAAACTTAGTTTATAACACAAGGATTAAGCACAAGTAAATTAGTTGTCTTCATTATTTCAGTCAAAAACTAATCGGTGAATCACCGCTAAACATTTCGGCGCGGGTTGTGAATTCGTATGTAAAGGACCCCGTAGTGTATCACTCGTTCATAAAACATGGACCAATTATCGACGGAAGAACTACATCATATACCTTTTGAAATAAACGAATTACAAGCCGAATCAAATCTCCTTTCGGCTTCACCTAATGGACTTGTCTTTGTTGCTCGTAAAAATGGTAAGGTCTGGAGTATTTTCGCGCTATCCTGGAATGCGTTAACAGTCATTATGACCCAACGTCTTCGGTTCTTCTAAAACTATTTGGCGCTTTTTTAATGTCACTGATCGAAATTTGTTATTAGGTTGTTTGCTTTTGCTTGGTGAGTGGACAATTATAATAGGTGAAGTCTTGATGCGGTATCTCGCTTTAGCGGATTTCATTGATAATTTTATCATTTGGGCTTATAATGGGTGTTCTTCGGCCATAATTTAGAACGTTCTTATTCCCTTTTGCTTCTTTTTTTGTTACTGTGCTTTAGACTTGGCCGTCTTCAGTGGCAATGACTATCACCAAGCCAGTTCGTCATTCTCCCAACGCAAAGACAAACCCCTGACGACCTTCCATCCCAACCTTTGTATCAGCCTTTCCCGTCGTGTTACCTGGCTTAGCGTGAATTGTTCTGGCAGCCTCCTCCTTCTTGCCTATGGCTCCTCTATCCAACTGCTCAACATTCAACTGCTGGTAAGTCTGGGCTTTTGCTTGACCCTCTCTTCCCGTTTCTAGTCTGCTCAATCTCCCCACGGTCTTCTTGGAGACACTTTGGATATTCCCAACGCGGAAGGGACCATTCGAGATATGGCATGGAATCCTGCGGATAAGCACCGATTTGCCCTAGTTACGACCGCTGGTTCTGTCCGCATGTTCTCAGTAAACCCGCTACAGAAGCCTCATATCAATTCAGTGGGATGTTTACCTGCTTCGGTTAATGCACGATGCCGTAAGGATTAGTAACGATAACCTTTAGTCAGGTCTTTGCTTCTTGTGTTTTTCAAACAAGTCTTATCGAGGCTCAAATAACATTTAACACGTCTGACACGTGATGCACGTATGTGCCTGGCTGATTCTTATGATACCTAGGTCTCCACGACCAAAATACTTGAGGCAAAGCTAGCTAACAGGAACGGGATCGCATCGTGGAGGAAAAATAAAATGTTGAATCGGTGTTGCATTATTCGGACAAAAAATTTGCGGAATGCTGCCTTAGAATGGAGTTGCGAATTTTTTATATGGACAAAGAAGTTAGTAGTTGAAGCTGAATTCCTTTTACAAGGTTTGTGTGTGAATCAAAAGTCAACTTAATTCTTCCCAGTGGAGCGATGGTAAGATCTTCGTTCTCACTTATCTTCATCAGTTTCTGATGACCGCCCGCCATCGACGGAGACGTGAAGAGGAACGTTGCTGCATTTTCTACAGCGGGAGCAGTAGTTATGACAAATGTCGTCAGAGTTTGGTGAAGTCCTAGTCACACTAAGGTCGTTCGTTGCTCCATTTTATTAGTAACTGACTTCACATCACCGTTACTCGTCCCACCGACCCCACTTAAATGGAATCAGTTGTGGGGCGGAGATGTTAGATATCGATACCACTAGGTGGTTGTGTTTTTGGCAGTGGATGGTTCCGTAATGGTTAATTCTAAATCCCTCCCGCCATTTTGAGGGTGTAAACTTTATAAATTTTGTTTTATGCCACCGCTGGATCAATTTGACTCGGTTTTCATTGTTGAGAAATGGAATCCGCAAACTCAACCGTTCTTTCAAGGCATTCATTTTCAAAATAAACTGGAAACTGATCACCATGCTAGTCGTCCAACTGTTTAGCCCAGAAACGACTTCATGTACGATGTCTGGACTAACGGAGGGTGCAATGCCAACATAGCGCTTTTACTCAGCAACCCATATTACAATAGTTAGGCGTGGCCTCTGGCCATACGATAGTGCTGCGAGGTTGTCCGCTTCTCATGGTCCTACCACCGTCCACATTTTTCTTGCGTAGCAAAGTTCTGTATTTCCCATGGGAAGATTACCCAGATGAAGGGGAAGGAATAGTAACAAAACGCAGTTCTCTCTGTTGGGATTTCAATCATTGGCAAGGTTGCATTACTGTCAACAAGAGGCCTGGTGCAATTTCGTGCCGAATCCCAAGGAGGGTATCAATTGCATCCCTTTCTATTCATTCGTTTAATGTTTATTTTGCCATCAAAATTTGCTTTTCTTACTGCTACTATTGGTGCTGCTTGTGCTGCTATAATTGTTGCGACCTTCCTTCTCCACCCTTTCCGCATCTCATCGATTTTTTTCGTCTCGCTTTGAATTCAGAGGAGGAGGAAGATGCGGACAAGGAGATTAAAATTTATGAATAAAACGATCGAGGACAACGTAGGCGAATAAGTGAAAAGTGAGTGAATATACACCCGATGAATAGTTTATTTTGGAATTGGTGAATGAGGCACTGTATGAAAAGATGAGGGGCTGGAGCTAAAGGATTGACTTAAATGAATGGATCCATAATAAAGGAAGGAGTGAATGGATGAACAGAGCGCAAATGAATGCTTGATTGATTGACTTGATGGAGAGATGGATGAAGGGAGGTGTTTGAGGTGCTTGGGACTTCCTGTTTTAATGGATGGATAAATGACTAATCACAAGGAACACCCCTTTGTCAAGTAATTCACTTTGTGGGAAACCTGCACAAAAGATCATTCCACGAAACAAGAGTTTACTCGCAGCTGAGAATGGACATTTACGCCTACAGCGCCATCGTCTTCTCTTGCTCTTTGATATCATGTAAATATCACTGGCAGAAGTGTAACCAAGAAGGGAAAAAGGCAAGAAGTGGTTGGAGACGATAACTACACAGTAACAGAGTCTCTTGCCTAAATTAACAACATTCGGATATCTCCTCCTCCCCGTCCTCCTCTTTTTCTCTCATCTGACAACGGGAGGAAGAAGGAGACACTAAGTAAGGCGAAATCACTTCTTTTTCCAATGCCAGCGTATACCATACCCCAAAGCAGTTGGAAGACAGCTGTGAGAGCTAGGTGGATATGCCTGAGATGTATGGTGAATGGCTACGTCTGGAGAGGACAGGCAAACGAGCAGATGGAAAAGTACTGTATCCATGAATGCACTGGGAAGTATCTCCATGCTCAAAGTTTTACTTCTGCCTAATTTTGTGATATGAATATAACATCTCGACTGATTCTCAACTCCCTTGCCACATTACTTAAGGCCTCAGAGCATTAGTAGCATATTTTCCTGCCTGCCCCACATTGTTACCAACGATGACTACACCAGTAAAAATGGTTACACTGCCGCAGACAAAAGAATCATTTAGTTGACAGTAAAGTGGCCGCCTGAATATATCTGCCCTCTAACGGTCAATCATTTCAAGTAGAGATTTTTTGATATTTCGACTCTAAATATCCACTCTCTTGGAGCGGTTTCTATAGCCGGCTATCCAATTGGATTCATACCTATTGGACTTATTTTCGCATAAAAGACTGATGTAGTTGGCGGTTTGAATTCGTAACGAAGGAATGAATTGTGTTGATAGCAACCAAGGTGCATCGTCAGAACTGAATTTTGGTGGCAAAATGAAACACCAAAGGGATGAATAGGAAGAGATGCAATCAGTATTCCTGTCGGGATCCTGCAGGAAATCTCACCAGGTCTGCTGTTAACAGCTGTTACCTTACCAGTGGTTGAATTCCCAATGGGAATCACTGCGTACTATTGCCATTCTCCTCTTCCTCTGATCAGTGTTCCTTTGAGAAATGCGAGATACTGGACTACTAAATACGACTATCTGAAAGGAAAGTACAGATTTTGCTGCTCAAAAATGACGGTGGCAGGTGGTGAAACCGCGAGGGACAAACAACCTCGTGAGGCTGTCGGTTAGTCAGGGGTCACATTAACCTGGTGCTGTTGAGTGAAAGTACTGTCTCTTTTTGGCAAAAAAAAAAAACATTTTAGCTATTGTCCAAGCTTTGTGTATTCAGTTATCTTCTGTTCTAACAGCTGGACGACCAGCGTGATGATCGGTCTCCAGTGTGATCCGAAAATGAACGCCTTGGACGTAGGGTATGGATGCCAGCTGCCACTATTCAACGACGACTGGTAGATCTGTTTGATGTGAAGTTAGTTATTAATAAAATAGCGTAACAGACGATCTCGAAGGTGTGATTTGAACTTCAGAACACACTGACGAGATATTTCATAATTGTTGCTCCCGTCGCAAGGGTATGCATTAGCCGCCCTCCCCACATCTCTGTTATTGGCGGGCAAAGTCACCCGAAACCGGTGGAGATAAGTGAGAACTAAGCTTTCTGCTTCACTCTTCTGCGCTGTGGTAAATTCAATACACCATCAAGATCATTAGGCCAACACTTTTCATGAACTCCTGGCTGTAGCATTGCCTCTTCCGATTTGGCGTTATTTTTGTCTACCTGGTGGCCTGTAGATTCTTCTTTCCTGCTTTGTAGTTTCGTGGAGTCCTAAGGGCAAGCAGCTAGCGTTGACGCTGACTGGCACTCTTTCAGAGTCAACAGCAGCGGCTGCGGCGACCAATTCCACCTCTATCGTGCAGGTGGATCACGACCTTAAGGTAAAGCGGGTCATTCCCATCGATGCACTGCTTAAGGAGCATCTCGAAGGTAGGCACACTTCCCCTTGATTCTTTTAATTCATGTTTTTGCAAATCTCCACCCTGTGCATTCATTGTTCTCGCGTCTTTGGGTTTGTAGTTGCCACTGCTAATTTGCGCTTGAATGAGTTGAGATGGATGGGTTGATATGCGGCCGTCAATTTGTTTACTTTCCTTCCTCAAACTGTCAGCCAGCAAATTTAATGCACCTTCGTAACTTGACGAAATGGGTCTCGTTGTCTCAATTCTTGATATTTCATGCTTCCGCCCACTCTTCACCACACGG